AGTAGTAGTAGTAGTAGTAGTAGTAGTAGTAGTGGTGGTGTGTGGTCTACTAACCATCTTGTAGTTCCAAAATCCAGAGATAAGAAACCATTAAAATAACTGTGCTGCGTAATACTGGGGGCTGGAGATGGCTCAGCGGTTAAGAGCACTGGCTGTTCTTCCAGAGGTCCTGAGTTCAATTCCCAGCATCCACATGGTGACTCACAACTTTCCATAATGAGATCTGGTGCCCTCTTCTGGCATGTAGGCAGAACACTGTATACATAATAAATAAATCTTAAAAAAAAAAAAAAAAAAGTACTGTAATACTGTCTTAAGTCCTTACAGGATAATGAATGCTTTCTCTAGAAGAAACTGTAGCATGGGAACATAGGAAACCTTGTTTAAGAAATAATACACTCTCTTCTCTGCTAAAGGACCCAAGCATTCTTTGGCTTCACAAGTTCTTGGCTCATAGAACACTTCACTGTGAAAATAGTTATTCATGGTGAAAGAGATAGTTTATAAAAACTATAATATTTGACCTTTCTGTTCTTACACCTCAGAAATCAAATTGCTTCATTTTGGTAAACACACACATGTGTGTGTTGCGGGGGTATAATATATATTATATGTACTGACATGAGGGATCATTTTAACTGTACACAGTTAATTATGGAAACTTACAATGAAGTTTCTGGATTTTTAATATTAATTTATACTATTTGTGTTTTTTCTTAGTTTCTGCCACTGCCTTCTACAAAGCACAGCCTGTAATTCAGTTCATGTGTGAAGTTCTTGACATTCATAACATTGATGAGCAACCCAGACCTCTGACTGATTCTCATCGGGTAAAATTCACTAAGGAGATAAAAGGTGAGTTCATTAGCATTTAGAATACTATACTTTCAGACATCATTCCTATAGTTTGTTACTAATTAGCATTTAAAACAGCTTGACTATAAAATGCATGACAAGACAACTTTCTATTCAAGTGTCTTTATTATTAGGATCAATTTGTGTGATATGCCCAATAGAATATAGAATAATTATAAAATGTCACATCAGATCCATTACTGTAGCCTCTTAGGTAGTGGTTGAATGAAGAATATGCTAAGTAGACCAGCTACATTTCTGTTTTTGTGAATACTGTCCCATACTAGCTGGAGAGATGAGTGTGTCTCATGGGAAAATGTTTCTCTAATACTATCTTTTAAAAGTAAGAATCTTATCTTTAAAATATTGTTACGTTAGAATTTGACTCACTCTTTGAACATATTCTGATTAATGACCTCATTATTTTTCTAAAATTACAGTTTTTTAAAATCTTATTTCTTTGTAATTGTAGAATATAGAGTTCACTAGTTTCATGTGTTATTCTAGACTTGTACCTAGCCATGTAATGTACATTATAGAGGTACCTATCTTACTTAGCTAAAATTTTTACAGTGGTGTTACATCATATGCATTTAACTGAAAAAGTTATGTCTATGGTCCCTCAAGTTAAAACTACTTTAATAGTGTTCTGATATTATATTCTGTGCATATTTGTTCCTTCTGTATATTTTTAAATGCATTTACAGCGTTGTGTTCAAACTCACATACACTGTGCTTTATTAGCAATTTGGGGGGTTTTTAAAAAGCAATTTAATTGTGTACAATTCTTTTCTTATTTATGACTTTAGTATCTAATCTTCATGTAAGATGTAACTCCACTGTATTTAGTGTAGTATGTAGTTAAGAAGCAAAATCAGATAATATCTAGTAGGAGTAACAAACTTTGTTTATATTAAATGTTACATCTTAAATAGACAGAAATAATTATGTTGTTTTATTTTAAGATTTTACCTATTTGTTGCAGATAATTTTCAGCTTGTGGTTTGAAGGAAGCATTCAAGTTTGTTCACTGAACATCTTTCAGTCCCCCAAACCAATTAGAGTAGGTGAATACATCCTGCTTGTTCCAGTTATCATTCATTATTTGCCATTCAGTAACAACAAAAAAGAGACAGTCATTGTAATAAAGCATTAAAAGGAAATCCCTTCCTGTTTTGTTAATAAGCATCCATCTATCTCAAGTTATCTAAGTGCCAAATTAAGGAACTGACTGTTTTCAACCATATCATTGTCCTTCCATAATCTGTTTTAACTACAGTTAGCATTGTCAGGAGGTTAGTGCATTACCTACCATTCTATATGTGATCATCTAAGTGCCATGGTTCCTAGTGGAGTTGCTGCTTAGTTACCACCTCTGATATCATGCAATCACTTACATTCTTCTGCGGTAACTATGCAATCAACTCATATCACCACTCTATCACAGAAAATACAAGATGTACAGAACAAGGATTCAACTGCTGCCCGAAGAGCATGGACTCGATCTTAACTTCAACTGCTCAGGGGCCCAAAGAAATGACTGAAAAATTGACTAGAAAGCATTATAAAGTTGATGTTATAGTGAAGGTAAAGCCAAGTTTATAGGTTAAATATTTACTGAAGCCAAACTTTTTGGTTGGATGGAGGGTTTGGGGAGGGACCTGGGCAGGGAATTATCTATTCCATTCTTTATAAATTTAACTTTTTGCTAGCCCCTGGATTTGGTCTAATTATTAGGTACCTATGATCTTAAATTTGGGGTAGAAAATCTGGGTTGTATCTAATTAATAAACCAGTATTTTTTTTCCTCCATTCAAAGTCGAGAAGACCCTTTTGAAAAAGAGGAGTCTTTAAAGTACATCATGTATTCCTATCACAGGAACTCAAAGAAAATAGAGTTTTCTGTTCAGTGATGGTTGGGTTTAAGTTTTAACTTACATAAGGGATTTGGTGATAGCTGCTAAATAGTGCCATAAATTATGTCATAATTAATATAAATTTTAGTATATTGATTGTATTCTAGTTAAAACTTACTTCCAACTAGTTAGTAATGGAGTGGTTGTTTTTTTTTGTCAGTAATTCTTGGAACGTACAAATTAAGGAAATGAATAATTTTATACATATAAAGAGCACTAATTTACTTTTAGTAAAAACTTGTTTTATAAGCATGTAGAACCTTATTTATATAAAATACATTTTTATATAAAACTATATTTTTTTAAATCATGAGGAAAACTTGAACATGAATAGTTAACTGGTTCAGATAACGGAAACTTACCTTAATTGTTTTTTTTCCCCTAAACATCATATTTTTACGTTGCTTGCTTCATATTATTGCTGTCTCCATAAGGCCTCCCTTTGTATTTTCTGGCCTCCTCCATAACCTAATAAATATTTGAAACTTTAATTTTAGAAGTATAGTTATAATGAAAGATTACTTCTCAGTGATTTAATTTTTATTAAGAATACTCGTAAAGAAAAACCACTTACTATCCTAATTTGTGCTGATATAGCAAAAGAAAATACCATTTACTGTGAGTGTGCTTTATGTTTGATGCTATAGTTAATAATTAGGTAAGAAAACAAATTACACTGTGGTAGGGTTTCTCTTGACATTTTATACTGGATAATTCTTTGCTGAGTTGGGAGGTATAATTCTGCACTTTCTAGACTGTTTGGAAGTGTCTAGCCTCTACTCACCAACTGCCAGTAATCACCTAGTTAGTGTAAGAGTTACAGAAGTCTTCCTGGGGCTGGGAGTGTAGCTTAGTGGTGAAGCACTTGCCTAATGTGTGCCAAGGCCCTGGAATTGCTCACTGCAACACACACACACACACACACACACACACACACACACACACACACACACACACACACACTCACAGTTTCTCCGGGTATTACCCAATGTCCCAGGGTCAGAGGTAAGCAAAACCACATTCAGATGAGAAGCACTGCACTGTAGGAATTACAGATAGAAAAGTAAAATTACTTAAGTGTAATAACCATAATTTCTGTTGAGAAACTGAAACTTCTCCATTTGTACCCTTCTAGACTCACTCTTCAGAGCTAGACCAGACTTTAAAAATGGACCAGTTTTAGCCAGGCGGTGGTGGCGCACGCCTTTAATCCCAGCACTCGGGAGGCAGAGGCAGGTGGATCTTTGTGAGTTCGAGGCCAGCCTGGTCTACAGAGTGAGTTCCAGGAAAGGCGCAAAGCTACACACAGAAACCTTGTCTTGAAACACTAAAAAAAAAAAAAAATTAAAAAAAAAATGGAGCAGTTTTTCTGTTAAGAGTACCTATGATATGACTATTTGTTAACTCCTGGGTTACTACATTGGCCAATATGGCAGCCAGAAGTTTGTGTAACTAACTTAATTAAAATTCAAGTTTCATTTTATCAGGCACATTAGCTTCATTTCCTGTAATCAGTAACCCATTCCTAATGATTCCCATATTAGTACAAACATAAAACATCATCTTAGGACATTCTGTTTCTCCTGCTGGAAATGGTGACACACACCTTTGATCCCAGCACTAAGAAGGCAGAGGCAGACGGATCTCTGTGAGTTCAAGGGCAGCCTTGTCTACAGAATGATTACTGTTCTGCCCCCACTACCCCCCCAAAAAATAAAAATAAAAACAAGAAACTACCTGAAGATTGTCAGCTGATATACCAGGCATGGGAGTACACCCCTGTAATCCCACAAACTCAGAAGGCTGAGGAAGGAAGGTAAATCCAAGGCCAATGTGGGCAACTCAGCAGGACCCTGTCTTAAAAGAG